GAGAAAAATATCCATTTCTGTCTCTTGGAAATTAGAGTAACCTGTCTGTTGGTAGAGTTTTCATTGCTCTTGATCTTCAATCTTTCCCACTGATCCCATTCTGTTCCTTTACTTCTTGGATAATCAATATACCACTAATAACCGCAAAACGACAGAGAATCTGATAAACTGTTTTCGTGAGAATGGAGCATAGGCCGTTTTGGGCTTGGATTTCACTTGAAGATAAAAACAGAAGCAAAAGAAAACAAGAAAATAAACGAAAAAGACGCTCAGTTTTCTATATCAGGAGAGGTAAAAAGCAAAAGTGGGTTGTTGTGTAACTATTAAGAATACCTGCTAAATTTTGGTGAAGGAGTGGCGAAGTTTCAAGATAGGGTTAATAGCAGTAACGTGTCATGTTTGGGAAAGGTGCAATGAAGAAGACGTGACAAATTGGTACACAAGTACAATTTTTGCTATGCAGATTGACTAGGCCCCTTTCCTTTAACCGTCCTTTAAGTAAAACAATTTATGTTAGGTAAGACTTAAACGGAATGTAATATGATGAGCCCAACATTTTATACATGAAGAAGGTAGTAATAACCAAGAAAAATAATTCATTGTTGTTAAATGTTTATGGGTTTGAGAATCTTAATTTAAGTGAAGAAAAGAGTTACATAGTTATGCTTTCAATTGATTAAAAGCCTAATAAGTCAGACAAATATCAAATCTTATTAACATAGTTGGTAAAGGCTTGAAATGGCAATGTGTAAATACTTGAGCTGTACTGCTTGTTTTGGAGTTGCAAGATTTATATTATGGTTAATACGAGAGGGTAATAGATAGTTTACACTCTATAGAAATGGGAAAAATCATTGTTTTGGTTAGAGAATTTTGGTTAACCGGTTTCCTATTATTTTCTCAACGAAGGTCATAATGTTGAAGTTGTCTATGAGTTTTACATGAGCTAACATTAATGGAAGTATTCAGTGAGTAATTTCCATTTGGCGTTTTTTGTTTGTTTTATTTATTTATTTTTATAAAATAGTGCAAAACAGAAAAAGAAAAGACAAAAAGTAGCTTAGCTTACAACCCATTTTGGATAAGTTATCCTAGCCCGCAGTCATGCATGAGCTATGATTAATATTATCATGAAATGGCGAGTCAGAATGTGAAGACTCAAAGCTTGCAAACTCGCAATTCTTGTAAGCGAATCAGCACTAGTAAAATATTTGCTTCAGTGGAAAAATAATAAGAAGTCTAAATAAACTAATTAAATTAAGGTGAGCTGCTATGAGGAGGGCTCAGGTCATGTTGTAAATTTTGAGAGTCGGGCATTATTTTTAGGCTCGAAATGTTATGAAGGAAGTAATTAAGGGTTTTAGTCACCAAGAATCTTAGGAGTCTTTAATTTACCCTTAAGTGGTGGTAATTCTTAAAATCGCTCAAAAATATATTTTGTGTTTTAGGCTGAGTTTGATCTTTAGAAGGAATATGAATTATTAGAAAATTGTCTTGGTCCTATATTATGTTATCATTCAACGTGTTTTAATACAAGGGAAATAAGAGGGTGGGTAGTGGCAGAGAATCTCTGCCAACTATTAGCCGTCAAAATATCCTATTTTAATTGAGGATTTTTAAGGGATAGTTGGGATCAAAGCTAGATTTTAGTAGATTTATTAAATATATTTTTAATATATCATCGTATTTTATTTATATTTTAAAGAAGTAATTAATATAGAAATGACCAGCTTAATCCTTTCAATTAATTTAAAAGAGCCAGGAGAATGTCTTGAAATCCTATTAATTATATTGGAACAATTATGAATCTCTGGTCTATGGCTTAAAAAGGAGCATTTTGATTTTAAGTTTTTGGGTAGAGCAACAATGTGCTACCTTCTTATCATGACTGATGTTTTTCTGATAACTTCCCTTTATATAAATATTTCACCAAGTTAATCTTAC